ATTAGTGCGCTGATGATCGGTGCGGATCCCTGCTCTGACAACTGCTGGTTCTCGGCAGTACTTTCCTCACGCACTGACAGTGTGATGAAAGTGCAGCCAAGAAACGGCAATTGCATTTCCCGGTGATCAGCATGTCATTGAACACGGCTGATCATGTGGTAAAAGGTCGCTGTTATTGGCCATTTACCACATCACGTGGTCATCACGGAGATCGCTGGGTGCATGCCTCCAGGGGCGTGCAGGAGAGTGTGTTCTGGGAGGACGTCATATGATGGCCTCCCAGAACTGGACGGCTGCAGTGCAGCCGTCATTCGGCTACCTGCAGTCGGAAACTGGTTAAGGCTCCCTTTACCCCTGTAGAGTTCTGCATTTAAGTGGTAATAAACTCCAAACTAAAGATGTAATTTATTGCAGTTTACCATTTATTAGATGCGGTGACTGCACTGTCATTTTTTAGGCTCCCCCCCCCCCCCCCCCGTTTTCTCCTGATAATCTGGTCAGCAATGCATCTTCTGTGTTAGGCGGCCTACACTATGGAGGAAGGAGCAAAAGAGACACCTTTGGGGTGTGTGTGTGTAATAAGCTAACACTTATTAAGCAGTTATATCAAACGGTTTTGTTCCTTTTGGGACAAAGGTTTTACATATATAAACAAACTCTAATTATTGTAACCACCCCTGTAAGTGTTAAATGGTTTATCATACCTCTCTAACTGCTACAGTACAGCTGCAGGACAACCTTAAATGTAAGATTATGCACTTGGGGGCTAAGAATATGCATGCATCATACATACTAGGGGGGTACAACTGGGGGAATCAATGGTGGAGAAGGATCTGGGGGTTCTGGTAGATCACAAGCTTAATAATGGCATGCAATGCCAAGCTGTGGTTTCTAAAGTGAACAAAATCCTCTCTTGTATTACAAGAGGTATAGACTCCAGAGAGAGAGATATCATATTACCCCGGTACAAATCATTAGTAAGACCTCATCTGGAATATGCAGTTCAGTTTTGGGTACCAATTCACAAAAAGAACATTGGGGAACTGGAGAAAGCACAGAGAAGGGCAACAAAACTGATAAGAGGGCATGGAGGAGCTCAGCTATGAGGAAAGATTAGAGGAACTGAATTTATTCTCTCTTGAGAAGAGGAGATTAAGGGGGGATATGATCAACCATGTATAAATACATCAGTGGTTCATATAGTGAACTCGGTGTAGAGCTATTCACTCTGATGTCATTACAGAGGACAAGGGGGCACTCTTTACGTCTGGAGGAAAAGAAATGTAATCTCCAAACACGGAAAGGTTTCTTCACAGTGAAATGTGGAATATACTCCCTCACGAGTTGGTTCTGGCCAGCTCAGTGGATTGCTTTAAAAAAAGTCCTGGATTCTTTCTTAGATACACAGAATATAACTGGATACTAACATTTATAGGTAAAGCTGATCCAGGGAATATCCGATTGCCTCTCAGGGGATCAGGAAGGAATTTTTTTCCCTGCATGAACAAATTAGATCATGCTTTGCTGGGTTTTTTTTGGCTTTCTCTGGATCAACTGTGGGTATAGGATTATAACTTTTTTTTTTGGTTGAACTGGATGGACTTTTGTCTTTTTTCAGCCAGACTAACCATGTAACTATGTAGCTTGTTCTGTCAAACGACAAAAGAGTTACTGGCAGGGTCACCAGGTGAAAATAAAAGAAAGCCTAAAAAAGAAAACTAATGCAGCCATCATGTCCAAGAATTGGTAAGCGGCAAAGTAAATGTTTGCTTTTGGGTTTAATAGCGTTTTACGATTTGTTTGCCCCTCCAATCGTAACACTAAGATGTCTATAAAAAAAAAAATTGTACATTGGTTACATTGATTTTCCTTCCTCTAGCATTCTCTCCTTAGATTTTATTGCTTGTTACAAAGACATATGGATTTCCATTGCTCCGTGGCCCCATCTAGTGGCCAAAATATGGTACTGCTTGTGTTTGGGGGCACTGTAGCTAGTGTGGGGTACTGGATGTGTTGGGCATCACTGTGGACAATGTGGGGTACTTGTTATATTTGGGGCCACTGTGGATAGTATGGGGCATTGATTGTAAATAGCGGTCACTGTTGATATTGTGGGATGCTTGTTATATTTTGGGCTACTGTGGACAATGTGGGGTACTTGTTATATTTGGGGCCACTGTGGATAGTGTAGGGCACTGATTGTAATTGGGGTCACTGTGGACAATGTGGGGTACTTGTTATATTTGGGGCCACTGTGGATAGTATGGGGAATTGATTGTAATTGGGGGTCACTGTTGATATTGCGGGGTGCTTGTTATATTTTGGGCCACTGTGGACAATGTGAGGTACTTGTTATATTTGGGGTCACTGTGGACAATGTGGGGTACTTGTTATATTTGGGGCCACTGTGGATAGTGTAGGGCACTGATTGTAATTGGGATCACTGTGGATAGTGCGGGGTACTTGTTATATTTGGGGTCACTGTGGATAGTGCGGGGCGCTTGTCGTATTTGGGGTCACTGTAGATAGTGCGGGGTGCTGGCTGTTTTGGGGTCACTGTGGATAGTTTGGGGTGCTTGTTATATTTGGGGTCACTGTGGATAGTGCGGGGTGCTTGTATTTGGGGTCACTTTGGATAGTGCGAGGTGCTTGTTGTATTTGGGGTCACTGTGGATAGTGCGGGGTGCTGTGTTTTGGGGTCACTGTGGATAGTGCAGGGTGCTCGTTGTATTTTGGGTTACTGTGGATAGGGTGGAGTGCTTGTTGTATTTGGGGTCACTGTGGATAGTGCGGTGTGCTTGTTGTATTTGGGTTTACTGTGGATAGTGCGGAGTGCTTGTTGTATTTGGGGTGACTGTGGATAGTGCAGGGTGCTTGTTGTATTTGGGGTGACTGTGGATAGTGCGGGGTGCTTGTTGTATTTGAGGTGACTGTGGATAGTGCGGGGTGCTTGTTGTATTTGGGGTGACTGTGGATAGTGCGGGGTGCTTGTTGTATTTGGGGTCACTGTGGATAGTGCGGGGTGCTTGTTGTATTTGGGGTGACTGTGGATAGTGCGGGGGTGCTTGTTGTATTTGGGGTCACTGTGGATAGTGCAGAGTGCTTGTTGTATTTGGGGTGACTGTGGATAGTGCGGGGTGCTTGTTGTATTTGGGGTTACTGTGGATAGTGCGGGGTGCTTGTTGTTATTGGGGTGACTGTGGATAGTGCGGGGTGCTTGTTGTATTTGAGGTGACTGTGGATAATGCGGGGTGCTTGTTGTATTTGGGGTGACTGTGGATAGTGCGGGGTGCTTGTTGTATTTGAGGTGACTGTGGATAATGCAGGGTGCTTGTTGTATTTGGGGTGTCTGTGGATAGTGCGGGGTGCTTGTTGTATTTGGGGTGTCTGTGGATAGTGCGGGGTGCTTGTTGTATTTGGGGTCACTGTGGATAGTGCGGGGTGCTTGTTGTATTTTGGGTTACTGTGGATAGGGTGGAGTGCTTGTTGTATTTGGGGTCACTGTGGATAGTGCGGGGTGCTTGTTGTATTTGGGGTTACTGTGGATAGTGCGGAGTGCTTGTTGTATTTGGGGTGACTGTGGATAGTGCAGGGTGCTTGTTGTATTTGGGGTTACTGTGGATAGTGCGGGTGCTTGTTGTATTTGGGGTGACTGTGGATAGTGCGGGGTGCTTGTTGTATTTGGGGTCACTGTGGATAGTGCGGGGTGCTTGTTGTATTTGGGGTGACTGTGGATAGTGCGGGGTGCTTGTTGTATTTGGGGTCACTGTGGATAGTGCGGGGTGCTTGTTGTATTTGGGGTGACTGTGGATAGTGCGGGGTGCTTGTTGTATTTGGGGTCACTGTGGATAGTGCGGGGTGCTTGTTGTATTTGGGGTGACTGTGGATAGTGCAGAGTGCTTGTTGTATTTGGGGTGACTGTGGATAGTGCAGGGTGCTTGTTGTATTTGGGGTTACTGTGGATAGTGCGGGGTGCTTGTTGTTATTGGGGTGACTGTGGATAGTGCGGGGTGCTTGTTGTATTTGAGGTGACTGTGGATAATGCGGGGTGCTTGTTGTATTTGGGGTGACTGTGGATAGTGCGGGGTGCTTGTTGTATTTGAGGTGACTGTGGATAATGCAGGGTGCTTGTTGTATTTGGGGTGTCTGTGGATAGTGCGGGGTGCTTGTTGTATTTGGGGTGACTGCGGATAGTGCGGGGTGTTTGTTGTATTTGGAGTCACTGTGGATAGTGCGGGGTGCTGGCTGTATTTGGGGTGACTGTGGATAGTGTGGGGTGTTGTGTTTTGGTGTCACTGTGGATAGTGCGGGGTGCTTGTTGTATTTGAGGTGACTGTGGATAGTGCGGGGTGCTTGTTGTATTTGAGTGTCACCGTGGATAGTGCGGGGTGTTTGTTGTATTTGGTGTCACTGTGGATAGTGCGGGGTGCTGTGTTTTGGGGTCACTGTGGATAGTGTGGGGTGCTGTTTTTTGGGGTCACTGTGGATAGTGTGAGGTGCCGGCTGTTTTGGGGTCACTGTGGATAGTGCGGGGTGCTGTGTTTTGGGGTACAGGGAATGACATTGTACACATGATGGCTGTGGGGTGACAGCCTGGCTTTGTACCCGTTCGCCCCGGTTACACTCGCCCCCTACAATGTCTTTACTGTAAGGTGTAAGCCTGAGCTGTATGAAATGTGACGCCACATAGTAAGCCGCCCGTCATGCACAGCCCTGCAGGTTAATCATCAGTCAGAGCTCGTGAAGAGCCGCCAGCCATCCACCTAGGTGTTAGCCCAGGTATCCCAGCCCCCTCCCCATCCCCACAGTGTGCACTTCCGGGATGCTGGCAGGAGGTGAGGCACTTCCGGTTTGTAGCTCCGTGGCCGGATGACGTGGCTGAGCGGCCGCTGAGGAGGCGGCGGGGTGTCAGAGAACGGGCAGCGAGTGCAGTAACGGAGGGAGAACCGAGGAGCCTCCGAGACATAAAACCGCTGGGTGTGCCGAGCCGCCGGGACAGGATGAGGCCGCTCCGGCTGCTGCCCTTGTTGTGCGTGTTCGTGCTGGGTGTGCGGGCGGATGAACACGAGCACACGGTAAGGCGGAGGTGGCCGGTCGGGGGGGGAAGGGATGCGGCCTGAATGCTGTGCGGGGAGTGCTGTGTGGCCTGCCCAGTGCTGAGGAGCCTGTCCGCATAGGCCGCTGTCAGTGCAGTGTCAGGCCTAAGCCGGCTCGCCTCAGTCGGTGAGAAGACACAGGCCTGACACGGCTCTATCTTCTCATCAGGAAGTGCCTGGCCTGGGAGATGGCGGAGAACTGAGCTCAGCGCCCTGATTGCCTCTTCCCAGGAAATCTTTCCTGCTGACAATCTCAGCTGTGCTGTGCCTGGTGATAGAGGAGACCGAGCCTGGGTGTCATGGAGCTCCCCATTCGCAGGCAGGGTGTCATGGAGCTCCCCATTCGCAGGCAGGGTGTCATAGAGCTCCCCATTCGCAGGCAGGGTGTCATAGAGCTCCCCATTCGCAGGCAGGGTGTCATGGAGCTCCCCATTCGCAGGCAGGGTGTCATGGAGCTCCCCATTCGCAGGCAGGGTGTCATGGAGCTCCCCATTCGCAGGCAGGGTGTCATTCAGCTCCCCATTCGCAGGCAGGGTGTCATAGAGCTCCCCATTCGCAGGCAGGGTGTCATAGAGCTCCCCATTCGCAGGCAGGGTGTCATAGAGCTCCCCGATCGCAGGCAGGGTGTGATAGAGCTCCCCGATCGCAGGCAGGGTGTGATAGAGCTCCCCGATCGCAGGCAGGGTGTGATAGAGCTCCCCGATCGCAGGCAGGGTGTGATAGAGCTCCCCGATCGCAGGCAGGGTGTGATAGAGCTCCCCGATCGCAGGCAGGGTGTGATAGAGCTCCCCGATCGCAGGCAGGGTGTGATAGAGCTCCCCGATCGCAGGCAGGGTGTGATAGAGCTCCCCGATCGCAGGCAGGGTGTGATAGAGCTCCCCGATCGCAGGCAGGGTGTGATAGAGCTCCCCGATCGCAGGCAGGGTGTGATAGAGCTCCCCGATCGCAGGCAGGGTGTGATAGAGCTCCCCATTCGCAGGCAGGCTACACTCATCAGCTGCTGCATTCATGCGGATCTGTTCTGTAATATTCAGCATGTTTCCTAGCTGACCAAGCGGCTCCTTCAGTTCTGATCAGTGTAAGGAGGAAAGCCCAGCATTTATATCTACACAGGAAGCATATTCTGGGATTTATTTTACTAATCCTGAATCTGCTCCCTTCTAACACCTACACTAGATAACTTGTGGAAGAAAGATCTGTATATTTGTCTGTTTTCTGCCCACTCCAGTCCGGTCATGTGATCCGGCTCCCCTGTGTCATCCAGCAGTGGCTGCAGGGGACAAGATGCCAATAAAACCGATGGGCCTTTGAAGCCTATAGTTGATGTGACTGCTTAGGCATTACCAGCCATTTTCGAGTGTTCTCTCCTCCCCCCTGCAGCCGGCGCTGGCTCACATGGGTGATCAGAGTGGCCTGAAAATAGGTAAGTATACAGATTGTTCTTTCACAGGTTAGTAATGTTAGGTGGGGGGCTGTGTTTACATGTTATACTTACCTGCTCTGTGTAATAGCTTAGCACAGAGCAGCCTCTATGCTCTTCTTTTTGGGTGCCCAAACCCCCCCCCCCCCCGACTCCACCAACGGTTTTGACTTCTCCCCCCTGCTGAGTGTCCCTAATAGCAAGCCTTGCTTTTTGTGAATGGACATTGTCCACTTACACACACAGTGCGGCTCAGCCTGTCTCCAAGCCAATGACTCCTGTTCTGTGTGAGCCGATGAGGAGAGGCCTAGGAGAGCTGCTTCTCTCTCATGCACATTGTTCGATCAAGATGGGGCTCAGGTAAGTATAAGTGGGTGCTGAATGGGGAGCTGCACCCTGAAGGTTTTTAACCTAAATGCATAGAGTAAGCTATGGCGCATAGACTTTAATGAAGTGTTATTTTGTTAAACTTGGATAAAGTTATAAAAGTAAAGAAATGAAACCGTTTGCACTGCACAAATTCAGCAGCTACAGTTTTTGTGGCTGCTGACTTTTAATAAACACAAAAACGGCTGTAACTCCGCTTTACGGTTATGGCTACCTCATCTTTTATTTGTAATCCAGTATGAAGAAACCCTATGTCACTAGATTATTATGGATTGGGTTATATACGGTTGTTTTGCACATAATTGCTTTCTACCTCTTTTTGCAAAAAAAAAAAAAGTGTGTGTGTGTATATATATATATATATATATATATATATATATATATATATATATTCAGGCACATCACTTTCAAGGACAATCATCAAGGGAAATAGCAGTGTAAGTGAAGTGATCTATGGCTGCCGGCATTGATTGTAAATCTCATCTCAGTATTGTAAGCCGATTGTTGTGTGAGTTACAGTTTTCAGTGCGCTCTATGCTTCAGTAAGTGTGGTTAAGTTGTAATATATTTAGTCTTTACTGTAAACGTCAAGCAGGTTTATATCCTGATGATTAAACTCATAACTGTAATGACAGCCTTATGCACAGTTTTCAGTGGTTAGTATGACTTCCTGAGATATTATCCTACACACCTGAGCTGATGAGACTTGCATTTCCTGGTTTAGTATGGTAGGAACTGCCACATGCACAAGTCTCAGTCATTCATTTTTGACACTGCAAGCTAGTGTTGAAGTTGGATCTGTAATCTTTTCTGCCTTGATTTTTTTTTTTCGGTTTGTCTTATTTGATATACATGTTAGGTGACCAGTTTACTATTAATACCTTCATAGCACGAAAATGTTTGGAAAAATAGGTTTGTCATTGTACCCTTGTGAGGGTTTTTTTTTTTTAAATTTTATTCAAAGGTGCATGCATTCTATAACTCTGTCATCAAAAGTTATGTATGGGGGGAAGTAGATGAAATTCTGTATTTGGGTGCCACAAAGTAAAATCATGGAGCCCACAGAATGTTTTAGTGAACCACATACTGTATAATGTTCACTTCAGCCCCCTTAACAGGTAAATTACTTTCAAAGTGGTTTTCAAAAAGTGAACAGATATGTTCATGTCAGCCCACCAAGACACATTTAATTTCATTTTTGTGGTTTGTAGTTGTTAAAGTGGCTGTAAAGGCTCAATGGTTTTTTACCCTCATGCATTCTATACATGAAGAAAAAAAAACTTTCTCTGTGCAGCAGCAATTGGCTCCTGCTACTATCAATCACAGCCAGTGAGCCAATGAGAAGACAGCGGGGGACAGGGCCAAGCCACATCTGTGTGTGAATGGACACAGAGCAGTGGCTTGGGTGCCCCCACAGCAAGCTTCTTGCTGTGGGGGCACTTGGCAGGATGTGGGGGGGGTGGGCAGGAGTGCTGGTGGGAGACCCAAGAAGAGTAGGACCAGGGCTGCTGTGTTCTTAGCCATCACAGAGCAGGTAAATATATCTGTTTAAAATGAAAAAAAAAATCTGCCTTTACCATCAATTTAAAGTAGACCGATCACACTACCTTTCAAGCCTTCTGTATTCACCTGTTAAATATTCCCACTGGTGTCATCAAGGAGATGGCTCTTACATGAGGAATCGTATCTAAATCTGCTGGTACATCTAAAACTCCCTCCTCCAAGACTGAAAGTGCTGTTCACCAAAGATGTCTCTGTTCCTTCATCCAGAGTGTAGGCACACTAACACAGAATGTGTGTTACTATCCAGATCACCAGGTGAAAACAGAGGGAAAAAGCCTAAAAAAGAAAACTAATGCAGCCACGACACCTAATGATCGGTAAGCTGCAATATAGCTCTGTTTTTGTTTTGGGATTAATACCATTTTAAGCACTGCTTACTTTCTCCATGTTCCATCACTGCCTTTTGTGTCATCATCCTCTGCTAGCTAGAGTCATTTAGTCATTACTTGTGAGCCCCGTTTTCTTGCTCCATCATGCAGCTAACACATACTACCATTAACAGTGGAACGCTTTATAGAACAGTGCTTACAAATCAAAATTTAAGTGCTGTTCTAAGCATCCGTGAGGACTGCGTGGCAGATGTCTTGATTTAGGTTATGTATACTTTAATCACGTAAAAAGGTTAGGGGGAGGTGAAATAATTTGAGAGTTAAAGTATATCCAAAACCCAAACTTTTTTTGTGGATAGATTTTGAGAGTTAAAGCTGTAGCAAAGTCCAGGAAAAAAAAATTGGACCCTTGGGCAGTTTGTCATAGTGGGCTAGTATGCACCGCGTAAAATGAAGCCCTTCATTGATGGCCATCTAACTAGGCAGGGATGATATCACTCCAGTGCATGCGTATGGGAGTCATGGACAGTGTACTCTAATATGCTATCCATTCTGAGTGCCGTGTGCATGTAGCGGTGACATCACCAGCCTCTACAAATGTGACGATCTCCTAAACAGTAGCTATAAGTCATAAAGCAGAATTTACTACCACTTTTGTTGTAATTTTTTTGGTCTCGTTAAAGGTTTTCACTTCAATTTCTTTCCTGTGGACTCAGCAAGGAGTGAGAAGATATCTTACCAATGTGAGGGAAATACTGTCTTATACAGTTGTCAGAAAGAAGTGCCCCCTTTTGAAAGTTTTCCCTTTTATTCTTGTGACCAGTAAAAATGTCTTATTTGGATGATTTCCCCTCAAATCGTAATCTCAGAATTGTAATTTTACCCTCTGTTTTATTTCTGACATTTTTCATCACAAGAATTAGTGTGTAAATCTGCCTAATAGGGACACAGACAGCTATAAAAACCTGACCGTAGTTCTTATACCTAAAACCACCACTCTATCCAAATCTAAAAAAAGTTTTGCCTTTAGCTATATTTTAAACTGGAAGAAAAGCTTAGGTCTCTGTTCTTAAAAATGTTATCTCTCTCCTACTACCTTTCCTGCCTAACCTGTATAAAAAAAAGATACGTGTACTTGCTTAAATTTAATTTGCACCGGTCTAGTTACTGGATCCTGCAACTCATTGCCTAGAGGTCTGTGCCAGCGAGCTCCATTGTGAGGTTACAAAATGAGGTACATTCATCTTTCTTGACTGTTCCAAGCTCTCTGCTGAGATCTG